ACTCACTATGTAGATCAGGCTGACCTTGAACTCACAGAGATCCACCTGCCTGTGCCTCCCAAGTGCTGGGACTAAAGGCGTGCACCACCAGGCCTGGCTTTCTTGTTTCTTTTTTAAAAAATAAAATAAATGACTCCTAGGGACTACAAGATGGCTCAGTGGGTAAGATCGCCAAGTTCGATGGGTCCTTGGATGTGGTGGAAAAACTGGGAATGGCCATGTGGGCTTGTAGCCTCAATGCTGGGGGAGGAGACAGGCAGATCCAGGAGCTCAGTGGCCTGACAGCCTGAGAGCTGGAGCTTTGGGTTCAAAGAGAGACCTGGTCTTAAAAACTAAGGCAGAGAGTGATCAGATGGAACACCCAGCGTCCTCCTCTGGCCTCTGCACATGCACTCTTGTGTGCACACATGCACATGTGCACCTGCTGCACTCACGCACACCCAGCCCTCACCCCATCTGGCACCACCTTGTTGCTCTCTCCTCTGCAGACTTCTCATCCTCTTAGCCGGCTTGTGTTTTTTGTCTGGACCTGCTTATCGCTGAAAAGTTTGCTTTGACCATTCCCAAGTCTGTGTTTGGTCTACACTTCCAGTTGTGTGGTTTCTGAGCCAGGTCATGTGCTGCCTTAGAGCACTTTCTGTTGCTATCACAGAATACCACAGATGGAGTAATTTATAAAGAATGAAGGTTTGGGCTGGGGAGGTGCTCAGTCAGTAAGGTGCCTGCTTTACAAGCATGAAGTCCTGGATCCCCAGCACCAGCGTGAGAGCTAGGTGTACAGGTGGGGGTACAGTGAGTCCTGGAGTTCGAGGTCAGCCAGTTTAGCCAAAACAGTGCGTGCCAAGTTCAGTGAGAAATGCTGTTTCAGAAAATAAAGTGGAGAAGTGGTTGAGAGAAACATTCCAGTGTCAGCCTCTGGCCTCCATGTGCATCTGCACACATGTCCACTCATGACCAGGACTTTACTGACTGAGTCATCTCCCAGACCCTCTGCTTGCTTTTCAGATACCTTTTAAAAATCCCTGATGTAGGGCTGGAGAGGTGGCTCAGTGGTTAAGAGCACTGGCTCTTCTTCCAGAGGACCAGGGTTTGGTTCCCAGCGCCCACATGGTGGCTAACAATTGTTTGTAACTGCAGTTCCAGGGGATTTGATGCCCTCTTCTGACCTCCTTGGGCACTGCATGACATGGTTGCACTTACATGCATGCAGGCAATACACTTATACACGTAAAATAAAAGTAATACATCAAATATTTTTTAAAAATTCCCTGATGCTTTAAAGTTTCATAAGCTGAACTTGTTTGGACATGGAAGGCCTCACTGCTCCTCAGTCTAATGGCCAAGAGCAGCCATGCGTACCCAGAGTGTTATCTGCTGAGTTCCTGGAGGTCCTGGTCCAGGCCCTGTGATGGAGGGATGAACTCTAAGCAGAGACACTTGGAACTTAAAGTAACAGGTCACCTTGGGAGGGGCCACTTAGTGGTGGCTGGCAGGGGACAGTCTGCTGAAGAGGGGACCTTTTACAGGTGCTGTGAGGGAAGCCATGTTCAAGGATTCTTGCAGATCCCTGGGGTGTGGAGGAGCAGGGGTGGGGCAGGCTCCATGTGGAAAGACGCCTGCCACAGTGTGGGGAGCCCAGGTGGGCAGGGAGCACAGGCTCCTGAAAGAGCCTGAGCCTCCATCTCTTCCCTCCAGGGATGTACTAAGAGGGGTGGGGGGCACAACAGGGACAGTGTGTCAAGAAGGGGGGTGGGGGGCACAACAGGGATATAGTGTGTCTGATCTTCTGGAAGACACAGAGCCCTGTCTTTCCTTCCTCAGGACTGATGGCTGTGAAATCCCAGCTCAGTGCTCCTAAGACCAAGAACCCCAACACCGGCAGCCACAGCAAGGCTGAATCTCAAGGCCAATGGGGCCGGGCCTGGTAAGCAGCTCACCCTTCCTCCTAGCTAGAAAGAGAAGTGGGGTCTCAGAGCATTTCAATCTTGGGAAGTTACGGACCTAGAGAGAGTTATTTTGTATTGTTAAGATGGATAGAAGGTTAGCAGTTTTCCATTTTGCAAAATAAAGAATTGAGAAGAAGAATCTAGGAGGCATTTCGGGTGGACTTTCCCTTATCTGAAATGCTTGTGGCCAGAGGGAGTTCACATTTCTGACTCTGTATATTGAGACATTTGCATGTGGATTGTGAGATATCATGGGGAAGGAACCCTGAGTTTGAGAGCAGAATTCTGCATGTTTGACAAACAGCCCACACAGGGCCTGAAGGAAACTTGACTCAGTGTTTTCAGTATACCTGTGTCTTATGTGCAACTTGTCACCTGAGATCAGTTGTGGGATTTTCCACTGCAGTATCATTCCAGGACTGTGAAAGTTTCAGGCGACCTGAGGGTCGATCTGGAACCCTGTCACTGTCCCAGGAGTCCTGAGTCCCAGTCGTGGGCCTTGTTCTGTCATGGAGCAGCAGTGCTTTGTGTGTCAAGTGTCCTCCCTGGCTGGGGACTGGGGAAGCTACCGGCCCTGAGGGTCATGAGGAGCACTGCATTCATATCCTGGGCTCTGAGCTTTCTGTGGGTGGCCACAGATATGATCACACAGGATCAGCATGGGTGGGTGGAGGGCTTTTCACTGAGCCTTTCTCCCATCTGCTGATTGGAGTGAAGGATGGGTCCCACACATGAGGGCATCCCAGAGCCCTCTGTGGGCTGGAGGGTCAGGAGGCCTGCGGTGACGCCCGCTGTCTTTTGCAGGGAGGTGGACTGGTTCTCCCTGGCCTCTGTCATTTTCCTGTTGCTCTTCGCACCCTTCATCGTCTATTACTTCATCATGGCATGTGACCAGTACAGCTGCTCGCTGACCGCCCCCTTGGTGGACATCACCACTGGCCGTGCCAGTCTCCCAGACATCTGGGCCAAGACGCCCCCAGTGACGGCTAAAGCTGCCCAGCTCTATGCCTTGTGGATTGGCTTCCAGGTCAGCCCCTGCCGGGGGTTCTGTGTCAGTGGGTGGGGAGCAAGCCCTCCTGCCACCAGGGTCCCTTCTTTGACCTGGGATGCAGGGTCCTGACGCAGATGATGCTTGGGTTTGCAGGATGCAGGTACACACAACAGGGAGCCGCTGTCTGTGTCCCACAAAGTTTCAGCACCTCACAGCTGGGGAAATGGTCTGCCAGGCAAAGTGAACAGGGTTGAATGGGAGGACGTGGCCTGGCCCAAGGAAGCCCCATGCGCACTTGGGAAGGTGCACCCTAAACTCCTAGGACTCCTGGTATAGAGAACACTGCTCTGCAAAGCAGGCTATCACCTTGATCAAGGATATCCTCATCTCTGTCATAACATGAGGAAGGAACAGCTTTCACAGCAGGACTGGTTGACAGTGCATGTTGCCCTGAGTCCACACCCAGGGCAGGGTTACTAGGGAAACCATATGGGAAGCAGGTCAGCTTGCTTTTCCCAGGGGGAACTTTACAATGAGACTCACTGTTTCTCCCAGGGTCCAAACTTTGGCTCTTCAGAATCTCTCTCTTTTCGGGTCCCCTGGCCCTTTGAGTGAGAAGGGGCATCACATACTCTGGTAGCCAAAAATGTAGAAGCAACCCAGTTGTCTGTCAATTTAGGACTGGAGAATCAGTGTGTGATCTATCCATCAGTCAAATACTACCAAAGCCAGGCAGAGTGGCACGCGCCTTTAATCCCGGCACTCGGCTGGCAGAGGAAGGCAGATCTCTGTGAGATTGAGGCCAGTCTGGTCCACATAGTGAGTTCCTGGACAGCTGGGGCTACAGGGAGACCTTGTCTCAAAACCAAACCAAGCAAAAAGAATGCTCTCAGGCCATGAAAAGGAGTGGGCACTGACACCAGCGGCTTTGTGGGTAAATGTTAGGGTTAACTGGAGAGGAGGAAGCCCAGGACCACATTCCATCATGTGACAGGTCTGGAAAAGCCACATTCACAAGGACAGAAAGATCAGTGGTTGCCGTTGGCTGGGGGTGAGAGTCAGGGGAGCTGTGGGGAACAGCTGCCAGTGGGAAGGTTTTGTAGTGATGGAAGAGTTCTGGGATTTGGCTGTGGTGATGGTTGACTGGCTTTGTGGATGTAGTACATTCTGCAGAATCGTCACACTGACGTGGAGGGCTTTCCGGAGTATAGATTTCATTCTAATGTTTTTAAATGGCCTCCAAGCGGGGAGTAGGGAAGGATCTATGTGTTCTACCTGGGGATTCCAAGGCCACGGCCTGGAGGACGCATGCTTTCTCATGTTCAGTGGCTAACTTGCCAAGCCCCTAGGAGCTCTGAACTTCTGGACTGTACCAATGTTTTACATTTGTATTTGTCCAGTAACAAAAGGCCAGGTGGAAGCATGCAACCATCCTGGCAGGCTGCCGGTCATCCAGCCTAAAATTCCATTTCAGGTGCTGCTATACACCTGGCTCCCTGACTTCTGCCACAGATTTCTGCCAGGCTACGTGGGAGGGGTTCAAGAAGGGGCCGTGACCCCAGCGGGTAAGCTTACCCCAGCCCAAGCTGTACTCAAGCTAAGTAAGCACTCTCTGTGCCTAAGTAGGTACTCTCTGTGCCCTTGGCTCCTGGAGCTGTCCTCCTACACTGCATCCCAGGTAAAAAGAAGTTTAGCTTGGACATCGTCCACAGGACTGGGCCTCAAGGTTCTTGAGCGTAGTCCCACTATCCTGGGTGTGGCAAGCTACTGTCATCACTTGGGAAGGAACGGCTTGACCCTCCTGTCTCCCCAGCCCCACTGCTCTGTGGGTCATCCCTGAGAACCTCAAGGAGCCCAACTTCATGCTGCTCACCAGGGGTATGGGTTAGAATCCCACTCATCTCTTCCAGCAAAGAGTTTCTCTCAGTGAGGAGCCTGGGGCACCACAGGGCATCCTCTTCTCCTACTACTTGGTTGGCCTTGCTAACACTGTAGACCCATCCCTCAGGTTGAGCTGGTTAAACAGGGAGCAAAGCACGTAACAGAGCCACCCCCTTTCCCCCTTTCCCTTCCAGGTCTTGGCAGCAACAGTGGCTCTCAGCCTCTGGTTGAAAGGTGTGCCACTGGCCTGTAAGCTGTGGTGTGTATGAGCAGATGCCGCCCCTTCTGGGATGGCACTTGGGGACCCCAGTTAGGAGTCTGTAGCCACAGAGGCCAGGGAGCAAGTAGGGCTCCGAGACAGGGCACATCCAGGTCGGGTGACCTGACAAGGGCATCAGGAACATGCTGTGTGAATCTTCCCTGCGCAGGAATTGTGAACAAGTACCAGGTGAACGGGCTGCAAGCCTGGCTCATCACTCACGTCCTCTGGTTTGCGAACGCTCACTTCCTGTCCTGGTTCTCCCCCACCATCATCTTTGACAACTGGATCCCGCTGCTGTGGTGCGCCAACATTCTTGGCTATGCCGTGTCGACATTCGCCATGATCAAGGGCTACCTGTTTCCCACCAACGCTGAAGACTGGTATGTTCCTTAGTGGCTGGTTGAGCCTAAAGTGGAAGGTGGATGCCTCCACCCAGGCCACCCAGGGCTGTCTGCTGCCTGCACGGGAGGCTGTGAAGCCCTGAGGAGTGAGACTCCTGGAGGGAGGAGGATGGAGAGAGACCCTGGAGGAGGAGGTGGACAGAACTTGCTCGACTGTGGGTCAGCCTTTCCAGTGTCTGGTGGTTTCTTCTGCTTTGGAAAGAATGCAGCTGTCTGTGACCACGTCAGCCTGGAGTGTGTCATGGGAGCAGTTAAACCAGAAAGTCGTCTTCTAGCCATGGGCAAAGCAGACCATGCCTCTTTCTTTGAGTTCTCTCATGGCCTCAGAAGTCTTCAGGAAGAACCACATCTCACCAGCTTTGCCATAACTGCTCCCCAGGAGACCCCTGCTTGCTGTACCCGTTCTCATGAAAGCCTGGTTGGAGGCCAGCCATCCAGTCCCATCCGCTCCACCATCCACCCATCCATATATACATACATGCATATGCCTGTTCGTCCATACATGCATGCATCCATCTGTACATACGTATATGCATATGTTCATACATTTGTCCATATGTATATGTATATGTTCATACATTTGTCCATACGTGCATACATACACACATCCATCCATTCACACATACATACATATGTCCATTCGTCCATCCATTCATACAAACATACATACACACATTTGTCCATCCATCCGTCTATACATACATTCGTCCATACATACATACATATGTCCATTCATCCATCCACCCATCCATTCATTTGTACATAACATATGTCCATTGGTCCATCCATCCTCGCATACATCTATCCATCTGCTCATCCACCTGTCCACCCACACCACCATCTTCCTACCAGCCACCTATTCATCCACTCATCCATCTACGTACCCACACAGCCACCCCCTACCAACCATCCATCAGCCACTGATCTGCCTCTGAATACAACCCACCCACCCATGAGTCTGCCCACACATCCATCCACTCACCCATCTGTCTACCACAGACCCTTTATCCACCCATCTATCCACCCACCCATTAATGTTTGGTGGGTTCTTACGGGGTTCCTTAATGTTGGGACTCTAAGGAAAACATTCCCCTTAACTGTTGGCCTAGGCTTTTGGGAAACAGCCTGAGATGGAGATTCTTTGTGGCTTGTGTTACCGAGTACTAAGGAAACTTTGTTGCTCGTGGAACCCTGTCCTGCACATTACTGCCCCGGCAGCCTTCAGAGCCATCTGCTGGCTAATCGCACCTGCTGTTGTAGATGTTCTGTTTCAGTTCTTTCCACTTAGCCTGTGAGGACTGAATGCAGGAACCTGCAGCTCCAAGATCATGTGTGCAGTAGGCCATACCGTGTGTGCAGTAGGCCGTACCTAGCAAGGGTCTCCACGCAGGCTATCTGGGCTGATTCTCTGCTTCC